TAGAATGTAGTTAGCTGAGAGAATTGCTTCCCCCTACAAATTTTGTGGTAAACCAGAACTAACCAACATAGCATTCATCATCTCTTTTAGGGTACGATTTTTGCGTTCCGCAATACCGTTTGATTGAGGTGAATAAGGAGCTGTAGTTTGATGAATAATCCCAGAATCTGAACAAAATTCATCAAACGGTGCTCCATATTCCCCACCTCTATCACTATGAATAGTTTTTATTCGTTTGCTTGGTTGATTCTCAACCTCATTCTTGTAATGTTTAAATGCTTTTAAAGTATCATCTTTACTCCTTAGCAAAAAGACATAATAATACCTTGTGCAATTATCTATAAAAGTAATAAAATACTTTTTACCTCCTCTAGTTTGCACAAATTTTAAATCACAAATATCACTGTGAATTAGTTCTAGAGGATTCGAGTTCCTTTCAACTGAATGAAACGGTGTTTCGCTAATTTAGCCTCTACACATGTTTCGCATCGATGATTTTGATCAAAGGACATAGAAGGCAATAAATCTAAACTTACTAATCTTCGTAAAGTATTAACATTTACATGTCCTAACCTATCATGCCATAAGTTAGAAGACTCAATCAAGTAAGCAGAAGATTTATTTTTATTAATATCAAAATCACGAAGTACAGGCATTACATTCCATTTGAATAGCCCATTGGCTAAGTACCCTTTGCCTACAAACATGCCATTTTTGGCGAGTACAAACTTGTCAGATTCAAATACCAACCTAAACTCATTCTTGCTTAACAGAGCTCCGGATATCGAGTTTTTTTGAATATTGGGAACATGCAGCACATCAACGAGTGTTACTTCTTTCCCTGATATCATTATCAACACTACTTTACCTAGACCAATAACTTTTGATGTTGCTGAGTTGCCCATGAAGAGTTGTTGCCCATTGATAGGAGTGTAAGATGAAAACATCTCCTTATCCGCACAAACGTGACGAGTAGCGCCAGTATCAACGAACCATTCTCTCAAATTATCCACCATGTTTGCTTTAAATACAACAGTAGAGTGCATTAGTTCAGACACTCCGTTAAACAGTCTTTCTTCTTCAGTCAAGTGCACTTGGTCCTTTTTGTTTTGCTTTTTCTGTCGGCAATCCTTTGCAATATGACTAGGCTTACTGCAGTTATAGCAATCTCCTTTGAATTTCTTGGCCTTACTCTTTTGCTTGCCATTATTCGGGTGCTTCCTTTTCTTGCTAGTATTTGGCTCCACCAAATTGACTTTAGCCTCCATTTGCTGCTTTGCAGACTTCTTTTCAGCATTTCTATTGTCTTCCTCAATTCTTAATCTAACAATCAAATCTTCAAGTCCCATTTCCTCGCGTTTACGTTTCAGGTAGTTCTTGAAATCTTTCCACATTGGTGGTAATTTTTCGATAATTGCAGCTACTTGAAATGGTTCACAGAGCTTCATGCCTTCTGCATGTATACCGTGCAAGATAAGTTGTATCTCTTGGACTTTAGTCATTACTGTTTTAGAATCTACTATTTTGAAGTCCAGGAATTTGCCTACAACGAATTTCTTCAATCCGACATCTTCTGTTTTGTACTTCTTTTCCAATGACTCCCATAGTAATTTAGTCGTTTTGATGGAACAGTATACGTTGTATAGTGTGTTGTCAAGACAATTGAGTATGTAATTTCTGCACAAGAAGTCACTATGACTCCAAGCATCGAATGCTGCTCGTTTTTGAGAATCTGTTTCCTTCTCCTCAACAGTTGGAGCATCTTCTCTCAAGATTTTGACTAGATTCAGAGTCGTGAGATAGAACAACATTTTTCTGTTACAACGAATTTCTTCAATCCGACATCTTCTATTTTGTACTTCTTTTCCAATGACTCCCATAGTAATTTAGCCGTTTTGATGGAACAGTATACGTTGTATAGTGTGTTGTCAAGGCAATTGAGTATGTAATTTCTGCACAAGAAGTCACTATGACTCCAAGAATCGAATGCTGCTCGTTTTTGAGAATCTATTTCCTTCTCCTTAACAGTTGGAACATCTTTTCTCAAGATTTTGACCAGATTCAGAGTCGTGAGATAGAACAACATTTTCTATTGCCATCTCTTAAAATCCACTCCCGTGAATTTTTTCGGTTTCTCCCCGTGAGCATTGTTAGGGGGTACGATAGATGTAATAGGGGGTACAACAGACGTACTACTACTTGCCATTATCATTTTAAGATTGCTGAAAAAGATTGGCAAATAATAGTGTATGTATATTTGGGTAGAGTAACGACGTTTGGATGGTTTTGAATGGTTGAGGCAAGATTTCGACTCTTTCTCCTTAAAACGATAATGCCCCGCACTGGTACTGACGGTATTGCAGCACTCGTTTTCCAAGATACAACGACCTCGTCTTGTAATAGTAGTACTCCAAATTACAAGACCTGATGAACCCGTAAAGTTTAGATCTCTCCACACACACTGGATGTAAAATGCACGAAAAATAATTTTCGAAAACTGAATTATAAAAGTAGAAATGATGCAGGGACAAAAGGATAATTTCGGGAGAGTAGAAAATCAATTCTAATTTTGGTATGCATTAAAATCGAGGTATGGGGGCCTATATATAGATGTTGAAAGGTTGTGTCCTAACAGACACAATTGTCGAAAAGTTGTGTCCAAAAGACAAACAGTTTGGACAGTCAACCGTCACAACCCGCCAAATTCTAGAAGCAACCACTTGTCACACACACAAAAAATTCGTGGAAGAAAAATAATAACATAAAATATATTATTATTATTATTATTATTAAATAATAATAAAATAAAATAATTCTAATGTTATTTTACCAAAAAATATATATCAGCTTGGCCCAAGTCCAAGACCCACGACTTGTGACTGTGCCGCGCCAAGCCGAGCTGGCTGGTCGGACGGGCGGCGGCGGCGACGGCTCGCGCATGTGGACTTTGACTTAACTTATTAGCATGTAGGCCCTCTCCCCCTCAAAGACTATTCGTATCCCTTGGGGCCAAAACCCAAGTCCTAAACTTGAACTATATAAGGTGGTTTATATTCTTCTAGTTTTCTTATATGGGATTGATATTTTCCAATTTCCCATCTATTTTATTTCAACATCAAGTGGGCATCTTTTGACTTTAATTTCTTATTCACCCTAAATTGGTTTTGAGAAAATAAATATACCATATTAATCTACTCAAAGAGTAGAACACATTTGGCCAAAGAAATCTTATATCCGATTAATAGGACCCACAAAATTAATTGGTCAAAAGTTGGTCAAATCAACTAATTAACCCAATTTTTCCAGCAGATCCATTCCATACCCATCCGGTTGTCATTCCTAATCTCTGAATATAAGATGCCCTAATCATATTGTTATGTCTATATTAATATTTAAAATTAATTAACAAATAAACATGACTACAAATTCTAGAATGATTTAGAAAAAGATTATCAAAAAGATTATAGTATAAATTATTCTCCGTGCCTAATTTCAATTTTCAACTTTCAACGAAAGACAATGAAGTTTCATTTTTTTCTTTTTGTCTGGCTTGATTTATTTTTTAATACTCGTAATATAAAAAATACTTGTAAGTTTGTGGTCGACAAACAAGGTTTGATGTCTAGTATTTTTCTCTCTTTCTTGATCAAAATTTTGAGTCAATTTTATTTGCAAAATATTACTGAGATGGCAAGATGCAATCAAATTGTCGAAAGGGAAAAAGGGAAATTAATTTCTTTAAGAGAAAAAAAAGTAAAAAATAAATAAAAATAGAGAAGAAGAAGAAGCCAATGTAGTTAACTAATAAATAAACACAAAACTATTCAACTTGACTTGACCGATTAACCAGACAAAAATTTCTAAAGAAAATACGGATTTCACTTCATATCTCACCCCACCAAACAAAATACATCTTGTCAAAATCTCATGATACAAGGTCTAAAATCTACTAATAGGCCCATGGAATTTTTAAAGTGTGGTTGCAAAGTAAGAGTACCCATAACATTTTCGAAAGTATAGTGTAACATCAAAAAGGGGAAACTAAAATGAGACATAACTTTAAATTAGATTATTTGTTGCTTTTCTTTAGATCTTTCCAAGTGGCTTTGTGCTCGAGATACCCCACCATCAATTGTATTTTGTAAAGCAAAATTTCAATTTACTTGTAGTTAAACAAACAGTTCCTTACCTTGTTAGTCGAAGAAACAGATCATTTTATTTTTGCCAAGTGACAAACATACGTAGGTAAGATATAAATGGCTCGTTGATTGTGTAGTTTCTTATACTTATTTAGCTCATGTTTGATTTAATCAAAAATCAAATTTTTAGTAAACTTTAATAAAAATTGATGAAATGTGTGATTGAAAAATTGTGGATATCATGAAATAAGTAATTAGAATTAAAAAAAAAAAAAGAATTTTAGAATATGATCGTTTTCTAGCATAGTGATGATTGGCATGTAGAGGGAGCATTCACAGAGGCTTTACAAGTGACAAACAGTACGTGGATGAGTTAATTTTTTACCATTTTTTATTCAGGTGGGCCCACATTTGTGAGTTATTTAGCCGGGTTCACTTCTGTACGCGAGGAAAATTCTAACAATTATTGAATTTGGACGAATAACCTCACATTTCCTCGTGCCATATTGACATAATTCATGGCCATCAAGTAGTACCCTCGATAGTCCATACAATTGAAGCCTAACAACTGTATGAAAGGAGTCCCAAAAAATAATAGAACTATTATTAAAAAAAAAAAGGTTGAATTCCAACTTTAAGGGCCTCCACCGCTCACCCCCTAGAGCTTTGTGAGAGAGGTAAATTTCGGAATGTACCCCATCAGTCAGGAAATAAGAGGCAGTACACTGCACCTACAAGGAATTCAATTTCATATTTCAGAAATCGAATCCCCACACTGCGGTTGCCAACCATGCGTGAAATAATCTCACTCCTATTCTTTGCACCACTGAATTATGCCCGGGAGGCAAACTATTATTAATATTAGTGTACCACGTCAAGGATTCTTCCCAACAGGAAGATAAGTACATAACAAAATTTATCTATTATTATATTTAACATTATTTAATTTATCGTATGAAATTAACTTACATGTGAAATTCTAGCCAGACAAATTAAGAAGAAGCCAAAATTTTTGAGAAATGAATTAATATTCCAGTAATAATATTTTTTAAAGAATATTCTATTACTGCAATTTAATTTTCATAATGTGACTCGGGTATAGCACCAAGCACAGGCCGCCAAGGTTTCCTCAGCAACCGTTGCCGGAACGTCGCCGATAACGGCCGTAGCGTCAGCGCGCCACCTCTTCTCCCATCCACACCTGCCGCCGGTAAAATCCCTTCTCGCACATTTCCAGATGTCCGCTCTTCGAATGACGGTGGCGAGGATACGAACAGGTCTTTGAGCTTGTGGCTGATCACAGTATCCTTCCCCTTCTCTGGCGATTCATCCCTATCGTCGCTTCTCCTTCCATCTGACGAGTCATTCCCAGGTCGAGGCGGCAGCCTTCTCCTTTCTCCACCTCCGTTGCGGCTGAGCAGCATTCGGAGAGTCTTTCTCCGGCGGAGGTGGATTACTGGACTGGTGGTTGGGCTCCTTGTTGGGCTTCCAGCCACTGCGCACTGGGTTGCTAACAGCTTGAATTTCTGTAGAGTCGCCATTTCTTTTGTGAATCGAGGAGTCCCTGCTAATTAATTTTTGCTTTTGATTAAAGAAAATGGATAGTCGAGTCTTACTTTTGAGGAGAATATGAGGTGAATGAGCAAGTGAGATCTGGCAATGTTTTGGTAAAGAGTGGGCCATAGGATTATTCTTTTCTTCTTTACCTTTTTCACCTTCCTTTATGTGAATAAAAAAAAATAAAAAATAAAAAGAAAAAAAAATTCTTTTTAGAAAGAAACACTTTTCTCCACTATTATTCTCTCTCTACACTTTCTACACACTTTCACGCCATTATTCACAAATCACAACCTGAGCTTGCGGGATGGAAGACACGTGAAAAGGGATATAAAAGAAAATAAAGTAAGATTCGAGGTGAAATTAGAATACGAGATAAGAACGGGGAGCTAAACCATAAGTAGGGATGAGGGTTAGGGGTCAAGGCGAGGTCAAAAATATGACGATAAGAATAGAGAGAAAGATTAATGAGTTGGAATAGATGTGAGATAAGAAACTACCGAAAAATGGGAGCGAGACAAAAATTAGGAAATTGTCATTAGATCAATAGCGATACTTAGATCAATAGGTCACAGAGAAATCTATGTGTGTGTTATTGTAGAATGCTATTAATGGTTCTACTGTTCTTATCTTCTTTCTTTTTATATATTTTGTTATTTAAATTATTTGTTTTTACATATTTTATTGTTCAATAATATTTAAATGCACTATATGTAACTTTTTGATGTTCGAAAGGTAGATACATTTTTCGGACTGCTTAAATTTGTGAAATAAAGTTGAAGGCAAATCTTAGGTTGGCATTTAAATTTCATTTTATTATTTAATTAAACTCGAACTCTTACAAATTTTAAATGATTAGTTTAACGTACAAATGATGGTCAAGAGTGATGTTGTGGAAACTACTAAAATAACCACGCTATATGTACATTATGGATGACAATACGTTTGATATTCTTCCAAATGATAACAATTTACACTATTCCACGCTTTCTTTCCTTTGAATTAAAATTCAATCAAGTAGAATTCAAAATAAAGGGGTTCTTTTTGACCGTTAAGAGTAGGTAACCCGTTCCCTGTCTTTGTTTCTATGCCCAAAATTAAACCAACCCCTTGGACTGCTACGATTCTAAGGGAAGGAATTAACCTACCTATTCCAACTAGGAAGAACAGGCAATTCGACAGGGAGATTCTGAAATTGTAGAGGTTTGGTTTGATCAAGCCAAATACATCGTAAGCTAAACCGGTGCGGATGAATAACCAACCCGCAATGAATTGGGAAGGTATTGAGCGGGAAAGTAAGTAAAGGCGGATAAAATAGGACAAGAAAGAGCAACACAATAGAATGGGCGGGGCGGGGCGGGGCTACTAGCACTTGGGTCTCTCTCTTGTGCGGGGCATCAAGTACATGTATCTTTACACTTGGCCATACTCCATTATCAATTTCTAATCTACACCATCCCGTCGCTGATAAGATTTTTTCTATCTAAAAGAAATGTCAAATTTGTTATCGACAAAGAATGTATATATTAGCTTTATCTAAAAAAATAAAAAAAATGTGCAGGAGATTTGATGACTAATCATAATTAGGCCTTGTCAGCAAATATTGGATCTCTAATATTGACATTTTCCCGTTACCAAAGAAATGGTGCTAACTTCTAGGGTGATGTTAAAAGTATGGCTGGCTCCTGGTTCGTGCAAGTTTATGGGACGAATTTTGACCGACTTTTAGCTTATAATTGAAATTCAAATTAATTTTGAGCTAAGCAGAGTAGGCTCGAAATAATTTGAGGTGAATCATACGAGTTTTAGTATGAATTTGAAAAATAAGCTCTGTTAGGGTTTAGGGTCCAAGGTTTTTGATGATAAGATATTTTGATAATTTGATTGATGATTAAGGGTGTGTTTAAGACTCATTTATTAGGAAAATAAATTTTGAAATAGTGAATTTTTTAGAAGAATATGTAGTTAAAAAAGTAGGAAAATTTTGAGTTTACGTGGAAAAATATTTTATTAAGAAGATGTGTAGTTGAAAATGAGTTTGAAAAGAAAATAAATTTTTAAACAATGAGGCTCAAACATAAGCTAAGCTTCTTTTGAAGAGAATTTATAAACAATTTAGTTTCTAAATAGATAAAAATGAGTTGTGATAATATTTGTACGTTCATTGAAATGTGTGATCGAAAATGAATTTAAATATTTATAAATGGATTATAAATTTTGTAATATAGAGTCAAAAGTAAACAAAACTTGACATTTTAATGATCAAGGGAATCAATACCGCATCTACTCAAGATTAAGGTGCTTATCAGACATTTTTTGTTCAAGAGAATATATTCAAAACTAGGATGACGATCTACTTTCCCTATAAATTTAAAATACAAGGTTTTAAAGGGATTTAAATACACAATACAGAATATTAAAAAATTATACTTTGAGTTATATATTAAAGAATTTTTATTTTATGAAATATTTAAATATCAATTCTAGCCCACTCTTGAAATTATTTGTTTGCGTATTTTGTTTTTTTGTTTTTCATAGTCTAAGATGATATATGCACTGGAGCTAGAAGTCAAAGATGACTTATGGTGGTTCAGAGGTGGCAATGGGCGATCTATCCACGAGCTCGACTCGGCCCACGAACTTGTGGCTCACAAGTCAAGCCACGAGCTCAAGATATTTTTTGGTTTTTACCCTAAATTTTTTTGAATCTTTTGTTCCCATTTTTTTTACGAGCCCACAAGCCGCTCTCCAGTGGGCAAGCCGAGAGGGTTCGCTCGCCTAGCGACCATGCCTGTTCGAGCTCGTCCAAATAGGAGCCTAAGCCGCTTGACTGGATTGCCATCCCTTTTGTGATCTAAAATTTTTTGAACCACTAGGTGGGTTAGCTATCGTATTACATGGCAAGATCGACCCTGAATGCGATGATTTTTATGCAATCAACATGAAAATGTCAAGTTTCACTTGACATGGTTATAAATAGCTTCATAACATTCCAAAGTAATAAGATCAATGTCATTAAGATTTAGAGGCAAATGATAACATTTTGCACAGTCGATTGAGTCTGTAAACGAAGAATTGATATTTGGGTGAAGGTTTTGGGGGTAGATTTTGTTATTTCTGGATTATTGATTATTTATTTTATTTTATTTTTTTCGTTTGGTAAACCACAAAAAATTTATTCTTCCTTATTTTTATAAACTCTTAATTATTTTATTACATTAGTTTTGCCTACAAATACAAAACATGTCTTATTTTACATAACTGTCGAAATCTTGAAATTATTTCATATCAGCAACTTGGAGTGGGCACACCGCAGCTGCTGACAACCTTTCGGGCATTAGGGGAATTCACATACTGCTTGAGAGCTGGATCTTTGAGATAACCACAAAGGCAAGGCTGCTGCTCCCAGAGTTTACTGCAACAGGCGGCGGACGGTGGCAGCCCCGACGCGATTGCCGTCGCACAAGGATTTAGCTCCGACGCATTGCAAGTTACTGCTTCATTCACATGCAGTTCGCCAAGCAGTAGCACCACCGCCACCAAGTACAGTACTGCACAACCTGTCTTCTTCATAGTCTTGAAAATGGAGTGAAAGAAAGGGGAAAACTTGAGAAAATATGTAGGAAAATTTGTGCAGTTTTTGTGTGTTTAGGGGTTAGAATTTATAGAATTGGGACTTAATTGAGAGGAAAGCAACGTGGAAAATATTGTTCAACATGTGTCAAAAAAAGTAGTTGGAATACTGCCAATGTTTGGATAATTGTTATTTATGGTGCGTTTAAACCCGTTTAATTTTAAAAAATGTATAACTAAACAGTAGATTGATAAAGAATGTGTAGTTAAAGAAAAAGGAAAAAATTTTGGTTTGTATGTAATATTATTTTAATAAAGAATGTATTATAAAAAAAATAATGTGGTAGAATGTGAAATAATGGGTGTCAAATAGGTTTTATGATAATTTCTTAAATTATTTTTTTTTTCAGAAAATTTATTGAAAATTTGCTCTAATTTGTCTTGTAAATAGAGAGCTATCATTAGGATTTTGTATTACCATCAATTCATCAAAGCAGAGGAGAGAGGATAGCGAAAATATTGGGTGCAATTTTCATATATGAATTTCTCTTCATCGTATTATTTTACTGCAACAATGAAATATAACGTACTCTCACATAAATGTGAACCTCTATAAGTTTCGTATGTAGGAATGGCAAAAAAATTCGTCATACCCGATACCCACGACCCCTCCTCGAATAGGGCGAGGATTACTCAAGTAATCGAGTCGAGGATGGGGCAGGTATGAGTAACACGAGCCCCTCCTCGTTTATTATTATTATTAATTTTTTTTAAGAATTCAATACTTTAAATAAAAAACTTTACAAAATTTCATTAATTCTAATGAAAGATGACAACTAAAATTATTTAAGAAATATGATAAACAATAAAGTCCTTAGTTTACCAAATATATTCGAATAATTTAACTTTTAAAAATAAATAAATAATTAAAAATTTTATTAACTATGTTATTATCTCACTGTAATGAATGGGTATAACGAAATGAATTATCAAAAATTTAAAAAACAAAAATTAACAGGTATGTAAACGGTGCAAACGCCCAATCCCGCCTTAAATGGATAATGGGGCGGGTATGGGGAGGAAAAATGCTCCCGCCCCGCCCCGTTGCCATCCCTTTTTTTT